CGCCCACGCCCACGCCCACGCCCACGCCCACGCCCACGCCCACGCCCACGCCCACGCCCACGCCCACGCCCACGCCCACGCCCACGCCCACGCCCACGCCCACGCCCACGCGCACGCGCACGCGCACGCGCACACGCCCACGCCCACGCCCGCGCGCACACGCACACACGCACACACGCACGCACACGCACACGCGCACACGCACACGCGCACACCCACACGCGCACACCCACACGCGCACACCCACACGCGCACACCCACACGCGTACACCCACACGCGCACACCCACACGCGCACACCCACACGCGCACACCCACACGCGCACACCCACACGCGCACACCCACACGCGCACACCCACACACACCCACCACACCCACCCACCCACCCACACACACACACACACACACACACACACACCCAAGGGAAACGTCCAGAAAAGCTGAAACAGCAAAGGCGCCTGGGAAAACGCGTTGAAATGATGAAAGGAGCCTAGGAAACAGAAAGAGACCAATTTCAAGAGAAGCTGCAAATAACAGCAAAAACCGTGGGGAAACAACAAACACATTGAAGGTAAGCAGGAGCGACGGCGCAAAACACAAAACAACTGTGACAAACCCTATAAAGTAATAAGAATCGAAACCTGCCGTCAAAAAACAGACCCGCCCAGCACTAGTAGTCCATTTTAGAGGTAGAAGTGGAAGTAGTAGTAGTACCCCGCGCGTTGGTAGGAGGCGCTAGGTGTTTTTGCTAGGGGGGCGAGGGGGGAGGGGGGGGGGCTCCATGCACAAACGACTGGTATTTACAGCGTTTTCGCCTCGTTGTACAAAATACTGCACAAGGATGTGGAACAAGAAAATCTATCACAAGCGTCCATGCGTTTCGCGACCATGCACAAACCACTGGTATTTACAGCGGTTTTATGTCCAAAACGCTAGTATTTACAGCGTTTTCGCCTCTTTGCACAACATACTGCACAAGGTCAGTAGCGTCCTTGCTTTTCGCGACCATGACCAAAACACTGGTATTTACAGCGTTTTATGCCCCAAACACTCGTATTTACAGCGTTGTCGCTTGTGTGTACAACATACTGCACAAGGATGTGGAACAAGAAACCCCGAGTCCTGAATCCTAAACACACCACAAATCCATGACTCCCAAAGTAGTTTCTTCCTACGTCTATGATCTGTCTTTTCGCTGGCAAACGCGCGAAACACCGAGAGGGTGCTCACTTTTGGACTATGAAAACAAGCGAATGCGTCACAAGCGAATGCATTAAAAGTACCCAGGGCCTCCTACAAATGCGCGTCCTAGTAGTAGTAGAAGCAGTAATGTTAGAGTCCCTTTAATAGACCCCCCCCCCAATCTTGTTTTGGTCCCCGGGTTTGGAGGGGTGGAAAAAATGCGGGGTGTCAATTATGAGGATTCTGGGGGTCTGGGGTCTGGGGGTCGGGGGGGGTCAGCTGTCAGGGTCTGCTTTGCTTTGTCTTGAAGGCTTCTGCTTGCTCTCTGCAGCTCCTTTTGCTCTGCCGGCCCGACTTGGTCTGTGTGCTGTCCTGCTCTGCTGCAATGGACCGCCGCTCTGTGGCAATCTCAGAAGACAAGCAATCTCAAACGAGATCTGCTTCTCTAAAGACTGAGCCTTGGAGCTCTTTCAAGCCAGCTCAGCTGAAAAGTCTTCTCTGCAATGGAACTCTTAAGCCATTTTCAGTAAAATTTTCAATTCCTGGCCGGAAATTTTACAAATACCACCCCATTATCATTATCACCGGACCCCCCTATATAGACTTGTTTACATACATCGGCCCGAAAACCTCCCGTAATGGAAAGTAGTCTTCGGCTGGGGCCCTCTGGCCCGGCGAATATATTACTATTACCACCCCAATTAAAAAAGCGACTCTCACATTAGAAGTAGTAGTAGTAGTAGTAGTAGTAGTAGTAGTAGTAGTAGTAGTAGTAGTAGTAGTCGTCGTCGTCGTCGTAGTAGTAGTAGTAGTAGTAGGAGTAGGAGTAGGAGTAGGAGTAGGAGTAGGAGTAGGAGTAGGAGTAGGAGTAGTAGTAGTAGTAGTAGTAGTAGTAGTAGTAGTAGTAGTAGTAGTAGTAGTAGGAGTAGGAGTAATAGTAGTAGTAGGAGGAGGAGTAGTAGTTAGTAGTCGCTGGTAGTAGTTATGGCCAAGTCTCGTCGAGTCGACCTGTCCATCTAGCTGGCCATTGCCAAGGCCATGGACCAAACGCCTACTACAGCCCCGAATCCCATGCACTCTAATGACATAAATGCACACCTAAAGCATCATCAAGCAGCAACGCTCTCAAACCTAAGCCTGACCACGTGGGGCCGGGTTGTGGAGGCAATTCGGGTGAGGGATATCCAGGCTTCAGGCAGGCTGCATTGGGCTGTGGAAATGCTGGCCTGAGGGAGTTGGTGGTATTCTTGCTGTCTGCTGCTGATACCGTAATCGAGCAGGGTGGAAGGCATGCAGCGGGTTTGGGATACATGCTTGATTACGCACTGCGCTGCTCAGCTGCATGTGCTCGGCCCTAAGATGGCTCTTTTGGCTGAGTTGGAGCCACAGCGAAACCAAATCACTCAGGGACACACTTGCATGTGAGCACCGCGCGTCTATCAATCTATGTGTTTTTCTTAAGTACGTATGTATATAGATATAACTACAAATAGAAATAAATAATTACATAAATACATACATAAATACATACATAAATAAATACATAAATAAATAAGTAAACAAACATATATATATATATATGTATGTATGTATGTATGTATGTATCTTTGTGAAGTAACTTTGCAATACATAATCATGCCTCTGTCAATTTAAGCGGTCCTTCTTCTTCTATACCGTAGCTACTCAGCACATCTAGCACAAGTAAGCCGGTACTCAGACAAACGATCGACAGGTAGCCAATGGGGTGCATCTGCCAGCTTTCTATTCGCACTATGTCACTATGTCCGATGCGCCTCAGTGCACAAGCGAGCCCAGCCACACTGTGCAGCAAGCAGCCCCACACAATGTCGGAAGTTGAAACGTCTGCGACGTTGGGTTCGTAGTGGCGATCGCCCTTGTGAATCATACACCCCCTTTTGAATTGAACTGCAGGGCCTCGGAAACTAGGGGTCCGGCAGTTGGGGTCCAGCGTACCAAAAATCTGAGTCCCATTACACGGTTTACGGGGCTACACTCGGGCAAGCCAGGCGAAGCTCAGAGTCAACAGCCCTTCTGCAGTTTGATTTAGGGTAACACATGAACATTTTAGCCATTGTAGGGCTCGTCCGGCTCATTTGCACCACTGAATCTTCAGGCCTGTGACGCTGTCCTCAGCCTTCGGGCGAGGAAGCAGCAGCAAAGACCCTCAATGAACGGAGACCCAGCGCAGCGCAACTCCTGAGCAAACCTACACTCTCAGCTTCTGTTGCAAAAAAAAGCGTGTTCGTACTGGCCACACAGATGTGGCGGAGACTCTTTAGTTATTCAAAAGACAAAGGCGCCCTACAGCCGGGATTTGACCGGAACACACATCGTCCTTTGGGAGAAGGTTCCAGCATCCAACAGAAATCCCGCCCCGAGTTCGGGGCCACAGCTGTGCAGGCTGGATTGAGCTCCTCAACCACCACACAGCTGCTTCCGGATTCCCTTCAAAACTGCGGAGGCAAATCCAACCAACGTCCTGTGCAACTTCGTAGACAAACAGGATGAGCTCGTGGAGTCTAAAGACCACCAGGTCGGAACTAATGGTGCTGTAAGGCTCAGACACCGAACAAACACTAACCGAATAGCCTAAGGAACTTCTGCAAGGTTGGAATTGACTGCGTTGGGCGGGTGTCCTATGGCATCCCGGCCCAAAAGAGGACTTCTAACATAAGCTATGCCAGTCATGCTTGCAGGACAAGCGTGACTGGGAAAACGCGGGGGCAGGTTGTTTCGGCCAAAGGCCAAGGACTCTAGAACCCTGGACCTTCCATTCCGAAGTCTACTGCTTTGGTACAGTAGCTGTGACTACCATGAGGCCGTGCGAGACAGAAACATCACACTAAGTACCAGGGTCGCCCTTCTGTGCCGGCCACGCCGCAGAAGTGCTGCAATGGGCTCGCATCCACGCAACACGAACGCGCAATGAGCAAACAAAGAACTCCAGGTGCGACAGGTCTTATCTAAGTTGGCATTGCTTCATGGAACAGCCTGCAGTTCCCGCCATGTGTGTCGCGCAGCAGCTTGCCATCGAATGCTTAGGCTAGAAGGATTTCAAGATGGTCAGGAGAACTGACATCTTTGATGGTGCTTGGGCAGACCGGCGTTTCTGAGCAAACCCCAACTTCCACATGACCCGATGAGTTCGGGTGCTCAAGCTTTGGTGCCTGGCTACCTTGGCGTCACTATCAACAGCTTCTGCGAAGAATACCCATTGGGATTCTGCTGCCGTAGGCCGCATGCATGCTGGAAAGTGTATTTTTACGGGCGTTGACGCATTTTGGGGCGTCTGGATTTGCTGCATACATTGGACGACAAGCTGCTCTAATTGGGCAGGTGGCCTCACAGCGCAAAATCTGTCAGTCCACCAAGAACGGACCCTCAGTAGCCGCATATTTGGACACTTTCGGTGGGATGCAGTGCACGAGGTCGGGATGCTGGTGTATTTGACACCATCGTTGAGGCAGAGCTTTCAAGTTGCGCGAAAGTGTTTGTTGAGCAGCTGCTCGTGAGCTAGCGGCTAGTGCTTTTGATTCTTTCTGCGCCTTCACGTTCTGAACTTTGTTATAGCTATCTGGAGCTGCAAGAAGCCAGAAACAGACACAGCCGCTCTCAGTCCCAAGCTTCGGTGTGGACGCTTTTCAGAACTGTCGAAGTCTCCGCGTTCAATATGTCAGCTTTAGGTTCAAGAGCCACTAGAAGGAACTCAAGGTACTTTCACAACTGTTTAAGTCTTTAAGCCAATATAGCTTTAACCTTCCAACCCGGCTGAAGATTTCAACTGCGTCCGTGGTGCTTCAGAACGTCGAGTACCCTGCGGTCTGCGCCATGGTTGATGCAGTTTGTGCCGTGGACGGCCTTGCTGTAAGTGGTGGGAGCGTGCTCCGCAGCTTTTGCCTCACAAGGAGACGCACATGATCAAAGCAAGCTAAGCCTAGGGAGTGTTTTGGACTGCGGGAGTAGTATGATGAGTCTTGCAGTTGCAACTTTGCCTCCTCAGATGGAGAATCCTGCAAGATGCTTCGACCTAACGCTTTTGGCCTGTGAAATCTTGGTATTACAAGCATCTTCTCGGCTGTTAGGTCGGGAAGCGTGGGAACTGCAGAAGCTGTTGGAAGCAAAGCAGATCTATATGGAAAACCCTGTGTGCTCAGGAGCATAAACATACGATGTGTGGTGGTGGTGGTGGTGGTGGTGGTGCTGCTGCTGCTGCGGCTGCGGCTGCGGCTGCTGCTGCTGCTGCTGCTGCTGTTGCTGCAGCTGCTGCAGCTGCTGCAGCTGCTGCAGCTGCAAGTTAGTGCCGCTTCAGCACTTGAAGCTTTTCTGCCCGCACTGCACCTCCAAAGTGAACCAGCCATGGAGTGGCTCTTCTGACAGTTTGATAGAACAGCTGGTTATGCTGAAGCCGTTCAACAAACCTACACCCAGAACATGTGTGTTGGGCCCAAGATCCAGGAAATTCCGGAATCTACTCATTTGAAGAAGCGGCCTGGGCCCTGAATGCATTCCTAGTGGCGCGCTAGGAAGCGGTACCTCCTCCCCCTCGGCATGTACCGTCTTCCTCGTCTCCTTCAAACCGCGTGAGAAGCCCCGCCAGTACCTTGTAAGGAGCGGTGCTGCTGAAATTTTATGGGTTTAAGGTGGTCTTGCAGAACACAAGGCACAACCCGAAGCAAAGACTAGTGCTCCCAAGGTTCGAGCTCGTGCTGCAAAAAGGAAACCCCCAACAAGACGACAAGTCAGTCGTAGCGCGCAGATCAAGTGACTGTTTGAGGAGCTCTGGTGGTCCGCTAGTGTCGTAAGGATGTGGTGAGGCCTTTTAAACCAGTTGGTGAGCCCGCCTCCCTGAGAGGATGCCAGGAGAGTGGCTCTTTTTCAAAGAACCGGACCAGTACCGGACCTAAAAAAGCCCAGCTTGGCTTCGACCCCCATATTCGTAAACCCCCCATTTGTTGCCCGACGTGCAAAGTTGAGGCATAGACTCCGAGACTGCAAGTGCAAGGCCAACAGGCCACGATTCCTGGACATGCATCGAGGGCCAAGAAATTTTGAACCCGCAACCGGAACCCCCTACACTATGTCTGTCTCGTCTGTCTGTTGCTTCCATCTGTCATCATCTATACCCCTCCCCGTCTACCTAGCCAATGCTACCTGGCTACGTACATAACACTGCAGACTTCAAACCGAAAAGATGAAGGCCGCTGGGTGTTTGCGTCCAAGGCGCTCCTGGTTCAGGTCTAAGCCTTGCCCTGGGATTCGATTTTTGTGGGCCTTTAGTTAAGGTTTTCAAGGGCATTGGTTTAGGGTTTAGGGTTTCATTAGTCAAACAGATTAGGGGTTGAAGCAAATTCGTCCATCAGGGCTGTTTTCCTGACGAATTCCGATTGGATGACGAACTGCTGCTTACTGGCTTACTGCGCTGCCTCTTTGCAAGCTCGAGCCGGACCCTTTAGCCTCCGACAGAAGCTGAATGCATCTCAAAGCCTGGTCGTGGACCTGTGAGGGATGCGGGTCCCTTTATCAAGAATGCAAGCATGCAAGTGCAGCACAGGCTATGGCCCTTGTACATGTCTACGTACGTCATAAGAGCCCCCGCCACTCACACACATGCAATGGGGGGGTCCTAAGGCTGCAACATGCCTGCCAACCGCACGTCAACAGAAACACGATATAATTACACTGTGCACACCCCCCACCCCCAACCCCAATCCCCCAGAATTGTAAGAACGCGCCTTCCCTGCCCTAATTGAGCCGCGGGGCGAAGCTTTTTCACTTCATCGGCCAAGTTGTCGTAGCCACCCTGAATGGCTGACTTCGACATCTTAAGGATGTTTAAGGGGGTCTTGGCATGGCCCATGATTCTAGAAAGCCGAGCAAGTGCACGAGGGTCTCTGAGTCTCGGGGGATGCGGGGCATCCATCAAGAACCATAGGGCGGCGGTGGCAGCTGAGGATGTTCTCAAGTTCAGCCCAACTGCATGCCACTGCCTTTAGGCATCTAAGAGAGGATGGACCTAAGGCAGGTCCCCCCGAGCTCTGGCGCCTGGAGGTTCGAGACTTGATCGCCCACCTCATGCAGCTTCGACTGCTCCTGATAGATCACCTCCTGTGGCAGAAGAAAGCGTGGCTCGGAGTCTTCGAGCCTGTGCCCCCATCTCGGTGACACACAGGTGCATTTGATGCTAGCGCCTCTGTTGACACTGCGGTCTGCTGAGCGATGAACCGGAAAGTGCTGTTGGGCGGGGCGTGATTGGGTTGCCCGCTCTCTCTCTCGCTCTCTCTTCCTGTTTCTTCTTCCAAAGGAAAGAATGGAAAGAATATGACATTGTGTGCGCATGGTGCGGTGGAAGCCTTGTGTTCGCGAAGCTCGGTCGTGTGCAGGATGACGGTCTCTACCTGAGCCGATGTGCTCAGTTTTGCAGTGCCGACACAAGCATCTTCCTGCGTCTGTCCTGTCAACACGACTCCAAATTAAAACTATAGCTCCATGTGTAGCAGTACATGAAAAATCGCATGGGGGCCTGGTCTGTTCGAATGACTTACACAGATCTTGCACACGCCAATAATCAAAATCCAGGAGCACACGGAGGAAATAGCTCCTTTAAGGCTATTACCGACCTTCTCCAGCATTCGCAACCCTGTTGACCAATACCTCGTAACGTGTCGGTCCATTAGGCAAAAGGAAGTGGTCGAATAACAACACTCCAACACATGTTCTGAACTTCATGATCTTAATTCAAGCTGGGGCCTGTTTCTGTGTCCCGTCGCTAGTTTCAAGTGGGTGCCTTGTGCATGTTTGTCGTCTACTTGATTCCAGATTTCAGCACTGCAGTCTGACAAAGCATCGGTTCAGATTGATGTAGCAACGTAGGCGAGCATCCGCCTTTCGCTGCTTTGCTTCGTAGGACATGCTGTCGAACATGCCTCAGCTTAACAAGGCTTCACGGGGGGGGGGGGGGGGGGGTCCCGAAACCAGTATTTTCCACCATTGAAAAGGCACATCAAACACATGGGCACATCAAACACAATATTGACACATGCTCGTAGGGTCGGGCTGCTCCGAAGCATTCTCTCGATGTCCACCCTACCATCAGGGCCGAGCATTTTGGTCAAAAGGGCGCAGAACTCATCGAAGTCCTTGTGTGGCGTGCTCGAAATAGTCGCTTGACATGTCGAGATTCACATGTTTGTCAGATGTCTTCCATGCCTTTTGTCAGGAGGGTATCCTACCAAAGTTCCGTCGAACAACTGCACCCCTCCACAAAAAGGATGGGACCTCGCCTTCCTTCAACTGCAAGGTACTGAAATCAAAGCTCAGCTTGAACCCTGTCACTTTGGTTCGCGACGACCCTAAACGCTTCAACCTGTCGTGCACCCGCACCTCTAAACAGGTCCCCGTGTTCAGGTGTCGAAAGCATCGTCTGTGGTGAAATCGGTTTGCAACTTGAAGCAACCCGGCTTTTCTCGGGTGATTTTTCAAGATCAAGTCCCGAGCTTGGGCGGTATAGCAGGTCTACGGCTCAGTGTCAGACCCTGCGTTCCGGCACTACCAGCCACGGAGCAATGTCACCGCTCTTGTCAATGTCGATGGCCTCCGGGGCGCTTTGCCATGAAGTCTGTGAGCGTGACAGGCTTCACTGGTTTCGGCTATGCAGGAGCTCAGAGGCAGGCTGCACCACGCATGTAGCCTGACCATCTTCTGGCGCATATGCGCAACCATGGTCATCACCCCTTGTTGGTCTGGGCTATGCAGTCAAACGAGTTTGCCACCCTTTTTCTGGCAGTCTTCTCAAAATACTTACACGAAGAGTCGCCAGCGCTTGCGATTCATCTTTGAGGATAGATCCTGCTTACGCCCTCAGAAACGACCCTCTGAAACAACTAAAGAAACTAACTTCCGATGAGCTCTCCGAATTCCCCACGAAACACACAATCCTCCAGCATGGCGTAGACGATGTCCATGGGAGGCTCCAGACCCATTTGGTGTAAGACTGCGTCCAACTCCTGTCGGGTGTTTATTTGCAATCTTCACGAAGCGGGAGCCGCCTCAAAACACGTTCTGCTGTGTTGTGCCTTACCAAGACTTCCCTCGGCTGCACAGCTTGTTTGCAGCACGGTTGATACTTTTTCAGGCCATTGGCGGTGCCTTGGACTTTTTAAAAGGGATAAGGGAAATGGATCCGTGATGGCATGCAAATGAGATGTGTGTAAGCCCTTGAAGTTCCCTGACTGTCGATCCGAGGCCCAAAAAAACCCCGCACAGTAACATCACAACTCTTGGTCGATGCATCGCTCCCCAACACTGATTGTGTTGGAGCCATCCAAGTCGAACTCGGTGAAAGTCTTCTGGAAAGCGGCAATCTGCCTAGGCATATGCACGAGTCGTGTGCTGCAGGTCCGCTGGCTGAGGCATGTTGTCGTTGGTGTTAAGATCAAAAACTTTCCTATTTCGGCCTAAACACAATCCGAACAATATTTACACATAAACAAACTTCCTACACATGAAGCACGATACAAACACCGTGCTCGTAAGAATTCAGAGGTCATCGCGTGTTTGCAGCCCATGCTTGCGGCGGCATGACGGAGGGTCGAGGGGGGGGCGTAGCCTCCCGACCCCACTTGCAAACACAATGCTCGTATAACGGGGACGGACTCATGAGCGTTTCCAGCAATTCGTGTCCCTTCCTTCCTTCCTCGTACTTGCCCCCCTTGCTCATTTCCCCTTCTTCCTTCCCTCCTGCCTGCCTTCCCGGCTTTATATCTCCTTCCGGGAAATAGATTTTGGATCCTGAAATATCTTTGGTGATCCCCAAAAGTTTGTTGATGCCTCAACAGTGTTGAAATCTCTATCCCAGTTCACGAGGGCGAGCTGCTGTAGTCCAAGCCAAGATTCATTTACTCTTGCTGCGAATGTCTCAACTTGAAGATAGCACCAGAAATGAACCCATGAACACTTTTTTTCTGAACCACGCATACCCGTCATCGACTTCAATGAATAGCCGGATCTGTCGTATGCAGGGATCGTTCCTGCTGACCAAGGACAGCCTGGGCCATCTGGAACTCCAGGAACAACCTGGTACTGCGGCTTGGGCACTGCTCCGTCAAGAGGATGCCGCTCTTGAAAACCACGCCAGTTTTCTGATCGTCATGGCCGTCCTGCGGCATCAGGAAACATCCTCATGAATGTAAATCTGGTTACACGTTCAGAGCGAAGGAGGGCCTCGATAAGTGTAAATGCATAAGATGTGTCAAATCAACCTCAGTTATTCATGGTAGGTGTTGATCATACATGTCTTTGTTCCAAAACTCGCTCAATCTTCTAGAGGTACCCTGTTGCTATCACGTCGCGCCCGTTGAATCTCATTGAAACACTCGTCGTAAGGGCTTCCGACCTCAATTTCAGATTCCAGGTTTCCCATGCGGGAACCTATTCACTCACAACAAACGTGACACCCACCACGCTTCCAATCATTTTCTACCGCTCACACGTTTTTCTTCCCTGACAATAGGCAACTGTCGTCAATCACTGGTTCCTACGAGCACAAGCATTCCGGGCCACTCCCAAGTGATTTGGCGTGGCAAAACTTGATGCACCTCGAACATAAGAAGACGTCTGCGTCCACATCGGCTTACTAGTACCACGATTCAGAAAGGACCCGTCGAGCGTCGTCATGTGCTGAACCCTTAGAAGCCCCAAAATTCCCAGAAGAATGCTTAGAAGCCCCGGGCAGTATACTGCCCTTGGAGAAAACGACCCTAAGCCCTAAACCCTTAGAAGCCCTGAAATCCCCAAGGAGTTGCAGCACGGCCTTCATACCTAGAATAGGGTTCTGGGGGTTATGATAGTATAATCACCAAGGGGCCATAAGGGAAATGCTATTAGGAAGTATTCCCGACCCCCTGTAGTAGGTCCTTGCCCAACTCCTCCAGGCCCAAGACGTTTTCCATCCGCCCGGCTCGCTTGCCCAGCTGAAGGACTTGCTCTCCGAGGTGCCTAGGTTTAGGGTTTAGGGTTTCGGGTTTCGGGTTTCGGCCCTCACACTCGCGCAAGGCAGGCAAGGTTTGGGGTTCAGGGTTTAGGGTTCGACGGTCGGGCTGCTTATGAATTTGTGAATCTGGAGAAGGAACATTGTTAGGTATGGTTCGTCGTGAAGGTAGGGTTTGAGAAGGGTCTCGAACTCATGCATGTGAACCAATGCAAATCCGATGCATCTCGCGATTCAGGAACCTTGTACAGCAGTAGGTTACTTTCCGCCTTGTTAGCCCGCATCGAAGAACATGAAGAATTTGACACATCGACATGATTACGCACTTTGGTTGGCTTTCGGGTGTGGGGCCCTCAACGGCGCAGAGGGTTGCCGAGCGGCTCCGTGTTTTTCTGTGCCTTTGCAGGCAAGTGCATAGTGACACAGTGCAAGCTGCCTTGTGTTGGAAAACGGTGCTAAGTCACTTCGCCTTCTGGAGGGGTTGCACAAAACACATTTTGCTTGACTTGGAGGTCACCTGCTCTCATGATGGACCCTATGGACAACCAATGGGTGAAGCTATTGGTGACCTGGCGCCTTCAGATATGACTCCTGATTCCTTCCGCATATGCAGAGTCATGACCTTCGACTACCTTGGTAGCTGCCGTCAGGAGATGTATGGACGATTCGCATGCTGGCAACCAACAGCCCCTCCTGCACTGCATAGTGCTTGAAACCCCGAAGGAGGAAGCGTTGGCAGGGGTTGTTTCTGTCAAGAGAAAGACCCCGCCTCTTCCTCTTGCTGGGACAGCTCGCTGCATTTGGTGTTCAGCGTGGTGATGGCCTGTTGGGATGGGGTCTCGGTGAGAATTAGACCGCTTACCATGCACGGACGTACAATCTTGGTCAATCACTACCTCTTCGATGGCAGCAAGTAAGAAAGGCTCAAGATGACTCAGATGCTGCTGAGCTTACCCCACACTGTAAGTTTCTCTGGTTGTTGGGGGGGGGGGGCCTTTGAGGTACTTGTTCATGTTCGCAACTCCCCCCCCCCTACCCACCGGCCAGCTGCCAAAGATCAGTCCGTTGCCTGCTTGTTGTGCTGACTGATTTTCGTCACTTCGCGCAAAGAAGCCTCTAGGTTGACAAGGACGTCCTTGGTTCTGTGAATGTCAGCCAGCGCCAGGAAGTACAATTGACCTACACTCGGAGAATCCTAAGCAAGCAATCTCGCTTAACTTGGCAATTGGAGGTGGTGCTGGTGAGGCACCTAGCACCTATCCTTCTGTTCTTTCGCGCAATCGCAAAACCAATTCCACCAATAATCGTGTAGACGAGAAATCGCTCTTTGCATGGTACAACATGGACCCCGTGGGTTCTCGCACAGAACCCTTGACGAGTAAGCTAGCCAAGGGTGCAAAGACTGTATACGGGAAAAGCTCCCAGTGGCCGTCAGACGAGCGGCTGGACTCGAGACAACCTCGAGCAGCTTCGCTATGTTCCTGAAATCATCGGGGAGTAGTTCTCGGACAGTAAGGGCAGAACACCAGAAGAACAGCCGAAGAAATCACCGGAAAACTGCCCAACAATGCAACAGAATCTCAAAGAACACGGCTCACCTGATCAGAGCACTGCATCGGGCAGAAGGTTCGATCGTCCCACGCATGGACACAAAAACTACTCGGGGAGCTTGAGGGTGAATCTGCAACTGCTTAATTGAGGTCCGGCTGCAAGCCCAAACATCGCCCCGAAACCACGTGACACACGCCGCCAAGTGCGTTCGGTCAAGTCTCCTTTTGTTCTCAGCCGCGAGAACCCGGTAGTCTGTGATTGCCACGTCAGCTTTGTTCAACCTACGAGCATGGCATGGCACAGCATCGACAGGCCACCGAGGCGGTGGAGCGCGTGGCCTGTCTTTCATCTCTTCATGGTTCTTCTCCATGGCCTGGACATGGCATCTGTGATTCCCCCCACCTGTAGCTACACAGTAGCACGTGTCGCTGTGAACCAGTTCTCCTGCTTCGCAGCAACAAGAAGGCCAAGTGATGGCTGCGCTATCTTATTTTCTGTGCATCCGGTTTGCCTCGGCTCGCCCTTTCAAGCTTGTCGCTGCCGAGGATGACGCTAGATGCTTCTCCTTTCGTTCCAAGGTGTACTGAGCCTTTCTTGGTGTGGAGAACTGGCTGAAGCAGGTAAAACACGATGCCAGAATCATGCAGTGGCTTTCGTGTTGCAGGGCTACAAAGGCAAGTCCCCTACCAGTACCAGTACCTCGTGGCTCCCGCAAGCCAAGTTGCTGCATGCTCTTGGAGCTTCTTCTCTGACTCCTGGGAAGGTCTACATCTCAAAGAAACTTGGATTCCACGGTACCCGAGACCCCAAACCGTTACCCTAAACCTTTGAGAGGACACCAATTCTTGTCTGAGGTGCGTGGGCTTTGTCCTCGATGCATCGCATCCTGCCAGCATTTTGGTTTACTCGAGTTTAGGAAGTTTAGGGATGTTTCGGCTTGGTTTGCATGCGTTTTGTCCAATTCCGGAGTCTCGTGGCTCCAGCTACTGCAACGGAGAAAAAGGCAAGGGAGCCGACAAGGCCAGACTCCACGTGGCCCTCAAACTCTCCAGGGCGTGCCTGCCCTCCAATTGGCTGCCAAAGGCTTCCGTGGCTTTCTTATCCTCTTTCACGTCCCGGATCAAGATGTGGACTTCCTTCCGCAGGACCAGGCAAGAACTCTCTGCACCCCATGTCTTCACTATGTCTTCCGGGCTCGGACGCCATGTCGAAAAGATGCAAGGCTCCTGGAGCCGGTTCTCGAGACCCTGCTTGTTGCCTCGAAGGCTTCAGGCATAAGGCTTGCGCTTGAACTTGAAGTCCTCCACATCCCTCAGCCCGACCCTTCTCAACCCGGCTCAACTGGGCTGCGCAGTAGGCACAAATTCCCAGGTGTCGAGCTTGATGCGTTGAACCCGAAGATCTCGGGCCCCTTAAGGGCCTACATGCGTCCTGCCCATGAAACCATACGGCAACTTTCGTTCCTCCGACATGAGCCTCATAAGTCCAGCAAGAGCAGCTATTTAGTTGGCACTTCTAAGAAGCAAAGATCTGAGCTGTCATGTGGCATTTCACGGACATCCAAAGACGAACTCCGAAGCCCGAGTATAAATGCACTTCAGCTGCCATTGATGGACTGCACGAGGACTTCGTGCATCTTGTCCCACTCATCGATGTCGGTCTTCACGTGCTCCAGAGCTGCGCCTGGGCCGATGACAACAGGACCCCAACATGAGGTTGAGCGTTACGACGCAAGTCAACCCGAGCCCAGCAAGAGAGAGTCTCTGTGTCAAGCAAGAGGCGGAGCTGGGCAACGTCTCGATCCGTCTCAAACTTCGATTCCTCACACCTTCGATGATGCGACAAAATGGGAGCCAGGTTTTTTTTGGGTGTTTTTTGTTTTTTTGGGGTATGTTTGTGGGGCTAGGGTAGGTTTTTGGGTTTAGGGTATGTTTTTGGGTATAGGGTTAGGGGTTAGGGTTTAGGGTTTTAGGGTTTTAGGGTTTTAGGGTTTTAGGGTTTTAGGGTGTTAGGGTTTTAGGGATTTTGGGATTTTGGGGTTTTAGGGTTTTAGGGTTTTAGGGTTTAGGGTTTAGGGTTAGGATTTAGGGTTTAATCGCTCACACTCGGACAAGCCAGGCGAGGCACACAGGTTCAATAGTCTCAAATCGGCTTAGGATTTAGGGTTTAGGGTTTAGGGTTTTGAAAACCAAAAAAAACACCCAAAAAAACCAAAAAAACATATCCAAAAAGAACCCCCACCCCGACAAGTCGACTTCCACTGCTCAGCTTTGAAGGAGAAGGGGCGACCAAACCCAAACCTTCAATCCTGAAGCTCTAGATCCTCAACACGCTCACCATCTCACCCCGAAACCATCCTGAACTCAACAGCTTACATTAGGGTTTAGGGTTTAGGGTTTAGGGTTTAGGGTTTAGGGTTTAGATCCTTGAATGGATTCGAAAGTCCAATGGTCCGCCTGGCCTCGCGAGTTTGCACCTCGTCTCCTTGAGGCGGGGCTGCAGCTCCTGTGGATCCCATGCTTCCGATGGTTCGAAGCTACGCTGGGCCGTTTTCCTCAGCATGCACACGGTGACCTTGAAACCTAGCCTTTTTGTATGACTTGTAGGATGGGCTCTCACTTCAAAGTGCCAAGGATTGCCACGAAATGGCATGTTTCTTATGCTCAGCCATGGCATAACCTATGCGATTGTCAGTGTGTACACGAATGACCGGCTTAACAGGCTTGGTCTAGTGTGACGAGACTGTCCTGCACGGCCTCGGTGACCACAACCGTCCTCTCGTCTAACCTCGGAGTTTGTTTTAGTGAGGGCTCGGAAGGCTCGTGAAGAACATGCCGTGCCCTCAGGACCCTCGCAAACCTCCAGCCCTCCAGGGCGGCTTCGGGTTGTGTCCTTCGAGAAGTATGACCCTCCAGTAACAGCATCCCACCCTGATCCCCGAGGACCATTGGGGAACACCTACATACCATCACCGACCTCACCAAGCCAAGCAATGAGCCCAGACTTCGCCCCATCTCATGCAACTCAAAACCCCCCTGGTGCAAGGCCCAAGGCACTCTCCGACCTTTGGCTTCAGGCTGTGGAGCTCCGTCTCTAAGGCATTCTTCTCCGCCTGTGGCTTCTGGTCTTGGGGAAGATGATAATAAGCATAAGAATAAGAAGAATATCAATGCATACTTATCTAAATTTATTTGTCATTAAAATCCAATACGTGGTATATGACAAGGATGATAATTAGACCGAATCTGTCCTTATATATATATACACATATATATATATATATATAGATACTTATTGATTTATATATCTATTTATATATTTATTTACATGTGTGTATTTATGTATTTGTACGTAGACGGAGAGAGACAGAGACGGAGACGCAGACAGAACGAGAGAGACAGAGAGAGCGCGAGCGCCTCCAAGGCTGCATGCAGCAGCGAAGCCAGGCTTCAAATGTGGGGGCAGAGGGCACTAAAAGCAGGAGGAGGCACAGGAGGAGGCACATGTGAGGCCGACCCCCCTCTTCTAGATTCTGAACTCTTCATGTGGCCCAAGCCATGGACTCGAAGTTCGTGCCCAGGTCATCCAAGGTGCTTTTGTAGCCTCTAGCAGCGTCTGCACTTGTGCGACCTGACGTGGAGGCTGACGGCCCGAGGCTTGTTCGTTGCACGCAGGCTCGCTGGAGATTTTGGAAATTCGCAGAGCAGGAACCTGAGGCCAGTTCACAATGAACACAAAACACATTCCTAAGTTTCGATCACGAAAGTTGTGTTAATGTCACCCCTAGGCCAGAAAACAAGCCAACAGAAACTTCTGGAAGCCAATGTCCACACACCCAAACCCTTGATACGCAATCTTTCGAACCGCTAAACAATCCCTAAGCTTCCCCACCTGGTCCGAGGTCCGGTTTAAATCCTGACGAAGCTCAGAGACCAAAGCGGCCTCACGAAGGACAACGGGCAATGCCGGATTTGGCCGGGGTATATAGTAGCGTCGACTCATGTATAAAAAGTATGTGTTGTAGCCGCTGCTCAGTGCAAAGCCTGTCTGCAAGCAATCCGTACACAAGCCTAAAGAGTGTGGTTGAATCGGCAATGGCTCGTTTCTACGATCAACATCCACGGGTCAAGCGTGGGGCCTCTGCATTCTCTGCACACAACATTCAGCCTGGTACGTACCACCAAGCACACGGTTGCCGCTCACAGGGAGTGGCTTAATGCTTTTAGAGCCTGAAAGTGGGTATAGGGTGGTTGCCAGGGCCATGTCGGATGATTCTGTTTAAGAACTTCGGTCCGACACCAGTAGCTTTGCGGCCACTTAGAGACTTAGAGATTTCAGGGCCCGGGGTCCGTGTCCTGCCTTTTCAAGTGTATGTTGCTTGCCCAGCGGAGCCTAAACCACCTCAAGTGGCAGCAACACGCCCGTAGAACCAGTGCTCTCTTCCTTTCCTCTTCTCATCAGGGAAGCTCATCGACACCCTTAAGGACTTAGAGGCCACGGAGTGCGGCCTGGTGAGCCAGCTGCCCAGAATGGCTTTCCACATCCTGGCAAAAAGCAGGGCTTATGCAGCATGGCTATTTCAGGAGCGCTAGCAAAGCATGGACCAGAGAGAGTGCACAACAAACAACATCCCCCAGGGCCCGCCCCTAGTCTCCACGTATTTTATTTGACTTCTGACTGCACAACATGTTCTCTAAACCCCAAACCCCAAACCCCAAACCCCAAACCCTAAACCCCCAATCCCTAAACCCTAAACCCTAAACGCTTCGCCGATCTAACTGCCACCGCCACTAGTGCTGCCCACCATGGCAAACCCTGGCGCGACCTGCCTGGGAGATGGCGCCTCGGAGTGCTTGACTTACTGTTGGTTAGTAGGGAATCAGGGAATGAGGTACCCTTAAAAGATATATATATATATATATAAGGGGATTTAGGGTACCTCATTCCCCCGTTCCCTACTAACCAACAGTAAGTTGACGGTGGCTGGGTGCAACATGTTACTACAATAAGCCTTCAAGCACTTCACGCCATGCACTTCACGCCATGTTGTTGCCAGGGTTTAAGGGCTCCGGGTCTGGATTTGGGCTTGAAGCTTTGTGTGTCCAGGTCAATGCCGGTGTTCTTTTTGGAAGGCTTGGCATCTTAGGCAGCCGAGTTCGGACGGTGGGTCCAGCAGGTCGGACGAAAATGGAATCAGCAGAGGATGACTAGCCAATGTTTGGACATGGATCCCTGTCAAAAAAGTGGCTCCTTTCATAACCTACCTCACTGGCGAAGAAGACATGATTTGCCAGACCACATAAACATGTCATCCCCAGACTGAGCTCGTGGTTGCTTGGGGCCTTCCGCTAGCATGGGGCATAAACCTGCAGCTTTGGTGCTCATTGTCTCGGACAAGTTCCAGACATACCTGAAGCACGAAGTGTCAAACTGTTTGGCTTTCGTAAGTCCACTGAAACAGTCCTGGGCCTAGCCGCCCTAGCTGCTTCTGTCCATGCAGTAGCTTGTCCAGCATCCCCAAGCGAAAGAAAAAAGAATGCGCCCTCTCAAAAGCAAAAAAGGACGTACCCTCTCAGTTCTACATGCCCCCCCCCCCCCCCCCCCCATGGCTGCAGAAGGGCCGATGCAGCTCATCTACGGTTTGCCCGAATGGTTGGAGGATGCCTGAGAAGCCAACGGATCAGGATTCCAAGGGCTTCGGGAAATTGCATGCCTTTGGCCAGCACCTGTCGAGGCGTCAAGCCCTCGCATGTCAGCCAGGCAGCCCCTACATCATACTTAGCATCATCATGCCTGTGCATTTTCTGTGGTGTGGAACTAGTCAAAGACGCAGCAGCCTTCAGAGAAATAGACCCTGCGCCAACAACCCTGATCCTCTGCCGAGA